GGTCTGTGCCTTTCAACTTGGAAGAAGCTGATACCTCCCGACTGAAAGAGACAGAATAGAGTACCCGGAGAGGTAAAAGAGAGCACTTTGGTAGATTAAGAGGGTGACAAGAGTCACACAAAGGCAGGGATGACAATAATAAGGAAGTCCAATGGTTTAATTTGGTTCTTGGAGGATAATCAAGTTGTTGTACCTCGTGTTGATATTCCCACAGCTGTCCAGCGAATAATGAATGTGGTACCTAGCCGGTATGGAAATAGGGACAAAGCGCGACTTTGATTTCTTATTTGTTATTTTTAACCATCCAATTTCTACACCCACTGAGCATCCTTATAGCCACAGGAGGGTCATAAAAATACAAATAACATCTAGGAGGCCTGTGGGCACGGACTCGTTACTTACTGCAGGGCTGACGGCTTTCTTTTAACTAGTGTAAAATCAGGCCGGTGATAAATCGCCATATATTTTGTTGTTGTTGCTGTTCGCAGCACAACTCTAGGAAATGTAAGGAAATCACTAAATGTCTGTTTCTAATAGATGTGAAAAGAGCTGGGCCAAGAACCTACCCCAGGACTATGGGTTTTAAATTCTGGATTTTAGGATGCTTTTAACACAAACACCTCTTGGCTCTACAATCTTAGGCAAAAATGATTAACTCCTTATTCCTTACTTTCTTCATCTGTAAAACCAGGGCAATAAAAGTACCTATTCCAGAGGGTTGTCGGGGTTTAAAAGAGCAAAAACCTATTGCATGCTTAGCATGATGTATAAATACATGTAAATATATCTAGTAATATGTAAGATGTGTAAATCGTAAGTAAATGCACATGGTAAATGTTTCAGAACTGAAAGCTTTTATTGTTGTTTAAAATAACATCAAATGCTGGCAGAAGGGTCTATGCAGCTTAGGGGAGTCTTTGCTCTGCACTTGGCAATGAGGAGGGACTGTATACTATGGCTGGAAACATGACTGTCAGTACAGCAAAGACCCCAGGAAGGTGCCCTCCAAACACTGAAATGGAAATAAGGAAAATGAGGTAATTTCCTGAGAGTTCCATGAGTAAGATCAGCACATAATGGATGTGACATGTTACCTAAAGAAGTCCTCCTAAATCACAAGAGGCATGTGAGGTGCCCATGTAAACCAGGCTCAGAAAAGTATGTGAGCAGAAAGGGGTGCTCTGCCTGTGGTGTGGAGAGGGGGTCGTTGAGGGGGCGGGGCATTGGACTGGCTTGATCGGGCTTGAGCTTCTAAAGCATTCCTTTGTGCTGGGAGAACAGACTGAGGATGGGGCAAGGACAGGGCCGGGGAGGCTGTGCAGGAGGAGGTCACGTGGATGATCTTGGTAAGCCATGGTGGCGGTTCGGGTGGTATAGGCAGGTGCCCTGCTACTCGGACTCCCTGCGGCAGGGCCAGTTCTATATGTGTTTAAGCTTCCCTACACATCCCTCCAAAAGGAAAGACGTGTGGCACAGATGCAGAGCAAAGGATAAAATACACTGTCCATAAATAGCACTCCGGTTGACACAAACTTCATCTGGGAATCGGCAAGTAACCAAGGTTGGAGAGGCTGGGTTTTGTGATGATTCTGCCCTTCCCTCTATGTTGCTTTTTCATATTAAAGGCAACATGGTAGAAGTGAAAGGGAAGGGTACGTGGGTGGAGGGACGCAGAGAACCGCAGGGTCACCCAGGCTCTCTCCCCAGGTTGAGGGCTGACAATGTAACATGGAACAGCTCCAGCAAAGGACTGCGCTGACCTTCTTGATGTGGTGACCTGACACCAGAAGTCTGCATCAAGTCTGCCAGCATCATCTAGTTCTTCTAGGCAACAGAACTTCCTTGGGTCAGCCCTAAACGCCCTCCCAGGTTATTACTCCTGGACTTCGAAACCTTTTGCATTCTGTTTATCCCTATAGGTCAGCTTGACGCATCTGAATTGTGGCACTCAAACGTACTTAAAAAACTCTATCTGTGCATCTATGAACCTATCTGTCCAACCTCCATCTATCCATCCATCAGTTATCTATTTGTGTATACATAAATATACACATATATTTATATTCATTAATCTGTCAAGATTTCCTAACCAACAAATCCCTTCAAATCCTCTGAAGACTTGTTCTCAAAACACTACATATTAGATGACCTCATACACTAGCTGTATTTTATCTTGTTTTATGTTACTTTCTGCCTGTACAGAGACAATAAAAACATTTCAATCTTTCCTTTGTTTCTTCACCCTTTTTTCTTTTCTCTGGCTGAAATGGTGGTTCCCAGCAGCCCCGCCCTCGTTCATTAACCCAGCACCTTTTATCATTCACTCCTTCCCATCCTTGTGACCCACGTAACCCCAAGTTATGAACTTATCCTGTTCTTTGAAACTCTATCTGCATGTTTTGTTCTAGTCCTTTTCTTCACAGTGTTTAGTTGGTGAAAGGACTTGAGGGAAGTCACTGGTTGTTACGAGACCTTTATAAATTTTGTGATAAGTCTCAATCAGGGGGAGTATGAAGAATAAGGAGATGTTTGTTTTCTGAAAGCATATAGAATAGGAGTCAGAATCCCAACAATCTGGCCTGTGCTATTCTCCAATTTCGCATAATGAATGTGCCCTTAGGAAGGCGAGAGCTTTCTCTTCGAAATCCTTTCATTTACAGAGAAACAAAAATCCCTCCTTTCAAATATATTTTAAACATGCAAAACAGCAGTATGTTTCTGTTAAGTCACATTTTAGCTAAATGGATTAATTGAATGGTGAATGGGAGCTGCTACTCAGCTGCTAACCTGCAGTTTACACACACACACACACACACACACACACACACACACACACACACACTCCCAAATTGCAGCAGAGCAATCCCCAGGAGGCAGAAAGCATGACTGATTTTTCCAATAAAGCTGAAAAATCGATAATCCTTGTAGACGGAACGCTCGCATCTCTAACCACCTCAGAGTTTCATCTCCCTCTGCTGTCCCTCCCAAACAAGCTTCCGTCTTCACCCTGGTACCTGTCACCAATTCCGTACTGCCAGGATTTACCCTGAGTTCTATTCCAGCTCTACTGAACGCACCTCTTAGAGAGGCCCTGCAGTGCATCTTGATTTAGAGATGCTTGGGTTTTATGTGACTCTGGGAAATGTTGTTTAGCTTTTCCGGAGCTCCGGTATGTTCTGATGTATGGCCGTGCATGCCTGCATGATTAATGGCACAGGCAAGGACTTGAAGCCTTCAGAGGTCACCCTGTGTGCACTGAATAATACAACGTGATCCAGAAATACCCTTGGATGGGAATTCCGGCTCCTCACAAATTCAATGGCATCGTTTGCTTTCATTGACATTGCCTGAGCCTTGGCGCCTCTCACTGACCGCGCTTCTGAGGAAAGTCGCCACCCCCAGACAGACATTTCTGAGGAAAGTCACCTCCCCCAGACAGACATTTCTGAGATATAAAAGCAGAACCATTTGGGTTTGTTGGCTATTTCTCTCTCCAGTGTCAGAGATACCAGGATGAGGAGGAGGGCTGGGAGCACGAGCGGGCCGATCTGCCAGACTCTGACAGGACTTCCGGGTTCAGGGGATCCAGGCGCGGGCGTGAAGCAGATGAAGCTTCCATGCAAAATATGCTACGGTGTGCAAGGCTGTGGCTGAGAATTTAAATGCACCAAAGTCAAGAGATTCGAAATGATGGTTCCCACAGCAACTATAACTCAGTTCTCTGGTGAATATAAAATTAACTTTATTGCAAAACATGCTGTTCAATTTACGCCTTAATATAGTCATGGCAGAGTTACAGTTGCTGTGAGAACGCTAACTCTGAATTGTTTTGAATAATTAATTTAATGAAAAGTTGGTGGAAATGTGAACTCTGATAGAAAGTCAACTTAAATTTAGGGAAGTTGGCCAATTATGCCTATGCTGAGGAGTGATGATTCATTTTGGGAATCTGAAAGAACTTAGTGCACTCTTTGGCCTGGGGGTGCTGGTAAAGCAGAGAACCCCAAAGTATTACCAACGGGGGACAGCCCCCCATCACTGAAGAAACATTCGTGCAGGTGGTGGTGCCTTTACCAGTAAAGGAGGGTGCCCCTGGGTGCCCATACACTCTGATTTCATTGCTGGCCTCCAGAGAAAGCCTCTTGCCACAACTAGCTGGGATCAAAGTAGGCGATCAAAACAGTCTATGGTGGGCACCTGGGTGGCTCAGTGGGTTAAGCCGCTGCCTTCGGCTCAGGTCATGATCTCAGGGTCCTGGGATCAAGTCCCGCATCGGGCTCTCTGCTCAGCAAGAAGCCTGCTTCCTCCTCTCTCTCTCTCTCTCTCTCTCTCTCTCTGCCTGCCTCTCCGTCTACTTGTGATCTCTCTCTGTCAAATAAATAAATAAAATCTTAAAAAAAAAAAAAAAAACAGTCTATGGTAACACCTGGTTTCTGTCAAATAAACCGAGGGTTAGAGCTTACCTCCCCCTGTCACTGACAGGTCAGACTTACCCCAAGGGCTTTACCTCTCTGAGCCAGTGCTCTCACCTGTACGATGATGAGGACAATTTCTACCTCACAAAACTGATGTGAGGATCAGGATGTGAGAAGGTGTGTTAAGAACCGAGCACAGGGGCTGGTAAGTTTTACGGCTGGTGTTCAGTAACTGCTAGCTGCTCTTATCTGAAGAGGGAGTTCAGTAGACGAGTAAATTCAAAACACACGCAAAACCAGCTCTTCGGCCCATTATTGCCGTCTAAACGGATTTGGTACAGACCAAGAGCAGCCGGCAAGGGGGGTGAGAAAGACAGAGACATGACTTGGCAGAAAGTTTCCTAAGCAGGAGTTTGTCTTCAGTAAAGATACTCGACGCCGCTTCTACTGAAGTTCTGGAAACAAATCAATCTATCATCTCTTCTACCAGATGAATCTCTCTCCCCTGGCCCATTATCTCTTTCCTCAGGAACCATTTGAGATCTTTTCCTCTGAATTCCTCTCCTCATCATGAAATTTTAATACCACAGATACACTCCAGATCTGCTTATTTGTTGCATAGATATCTGTGCTTTATGCATAAAAAGGGTAAGATTTCTCGACTTGCTCAAAGAACACCTTGTCTTTCTGTTTGTGGTGATCCTGTCCTCATTTTGGAGGTGTGCACTGGACTATGGGCCAATGTGTCCCTTGTTCAAATCTTCATGCTCCAAAACTCCAGAAAACCCCTTCATTTATTTAGTTATTCCTTTTGCTATTTCTTCCTCAAATCTAGCTCCTGACTTTTCACAAATGGGCTCTTTTGGCAGCTAAGAAACACAGTGCTTTTGAAGTTAGCTCACGGTGGCTTCTCACTATCCGTCCCCACTGTTCTCCTCAGATATAATGTGGCTTCTCTTTCTCTTAACTTTTTTTCGGGAGGGCCATGCCCAGGGAATCTCAAGCCAGCCAGCACTTACTGAGCACCTGGTGTATTCCTGTTCCAAGGCAGAGGATAATTTAGGTTCCTTCTGGATACTATGTTTTGCTGCTGAATGCCAGGCTTGACCAAACCAGAGAGGTTGTCCCTGCCAGAGAGCATCTTTCTTGGGAGGCACTGTCAAGATTTTAACAGAAAGGGGCAAAGCCATAGCCTGGGAGGAAACACAAATTAAAAGGAAACCCCCGAGCAAAGTGCATTTCTAGCTTCAGAATCCACTCCCAGGCAAAGTGCATTTCTAGCTTCAGAATCCTCTCCCAGCTCGGCTCTAACTACTTTCTTTATGTATTAGCCTCATGTTGTTTTCAGGGTCTCTATCTCCTTCCCCTCCAAGTCTTGGCTTGCGGCTTTTTACCTCACTGTGATCAGTATCAGTCAGATTTTAATGTCTCCTGAAAGACATGATTTTATAGCACTGCAATCTTTTGCTTTTACTGCTCAGAAAATATTGTGAAGTTGCACTACTTAGCGTTACCCCATCTCACTGGTGCTGGAAGCAGAAAGGTACATGTCAAAGTGGAGTTGTCCTAGCACGTGGAGGTCGGTCAGATGCAACTTTAAAGAGACTTCTTGGTTTGGCCAGGTACTTAGCTAAACCTGGAACTTCACCGTGGCTTCGGTAACTTGTGCACGGCTGAGTGCTGAAACTCCAGGGGCTGATGTCCCTGCTGACCAGTGAGTCTGTTGGTTTGAGCATCCCTGAGTTGCACTATTGACCTATAGGAGCCAGTTAAACCCAAAGGCTGGTTCAGCCAGGTGAGCCTGACTGTGCTGGCAGACCCACCATGAGGGTCTCCTGCATGGGCATTCTGTACACCATACAACAGGCTTTAAAGGATTTGGCAGGACTGAGAATGCCTGTGGCTTCCCTATTTTGAACTTCTAGAATGTCACCCTGAGGCTACTATGGTAAAGATGTCCCCTACATGGTGCACCTTTGACTCCCAAGAATGGATGTTTGTGTATGTATGTGAAAAATACAAATTATGATTTGTCTGTGTGATATTTTGAGAGGCATCATGAATGAAGGTAAAGAGAAGCCTTGGCTGACCTTTGGAAGCTTCCATTCTGAACAAATGAATAGCATGAGTTGATTTCTCCCAAGGCAGCACAAGAGCTACCTTTTTATATATTTGGGTATAAAGAAATACATACCTGAGGATATAAAGAGATGGCTTTTTTAAGCTACATACTTGAAAAAATTTTCAGTATTGATTTTGATCTGTTGAGATGAGCTAAGACAGAATGGCTGATTCTAGATGCTTAATCAACTGCACTTCTGACTAGATCGAGCAGGGATTTCCAGTGCTCTTCTGTGGAATCCTTAAAGTTCCCACTCCCAGAAAAGGCAGTTTCATTGGACTCTGCTCTAAAGAAGAGTATCCTGATTTATGGGATCAGAGGGGAAGCTGGTGAGTATGGCAGCCTTTGCTGTCCCAAGTGTCACTAAGTCTAGTCCCCTCTTTCACACATGCATTTAGGATGGCCAGGTGTCGCTCTAGTTCTGCATCTGCCTCTGAAGGATGTCCATGGCATGCTCGCATGCAAAGAATGTGAATGGCTGTGGTAGAATATCATGCTGGGAACCATTCCCAGGAATCAGCCGTCTGATCTGAGACAATTTGGAAGGAAGAGCAAGGCAATCTAGAAAACGGGGATACTTGTCCTGGGAAAAAGACCAACGGTTTTACACTGCCATACTGGAGTCTTCTCTCTGGGTCATGCCTGCAAAGCCCAAGGAACTCCCCTGAGTAGAGCAGGACAGGGAGCATATATGCCCATAAAGCAGAGGAGAAGGGGGGAGGACAGAGGGATGGTGCAGCAAAACCCTTGAACCCAGTCTAGAGGGGAAATGACTGTGGTGGAGCTCTAATCATTGCTGGCCAATGGGAATTTCTTGGGTGTTCTACCCAAGGCAACTCAGAGAAGATCTTCGTTCTGGCCTTCCACTGCACTGCTCTGGCCCTTGTCCTGCCTTTCCATGGCCACTCCTGTTAATCCACTGTGGCCAAGGAGAGGGCACCTATCCCAGCTCTGTAAGGGAAAGTCTTCTTCATAGCTGTAATTCTATTTGTTTAAGGAAGAGAAGGGAAATGGGGCCCCAAGGGGCATGGATTAATTGGGTACTGTTAGTAAATGCAGATATCCAGAATCCTGCAGATACCCAGTCGGCATTTCTAGGTCTTGAGCACTTGGCAAAGTAGAATTTCAGAGCATGGCATCACACCAAGGACCAATGCAGAGATGTGTTGTTAATGGGTGCAGATGAACCATCTGCCGAGAAGTTGGATGGGCACACACACATGCATGCACACACAGACGTGTACACACTCACACGCACGACAGGAATTAGTCACTGGCTCAGTTTGCTTGTATATATTGTCGAGATCTGGGGCTTAGCTGTCAGCTGGAGCAGATGGAAGGAAGATAAGCCAAAAAGGGCAGCAGAGGAGGCAGGAATGGGAAACCCTGCCTGCGCTTCTTGAATGTGGTAATTTGCCAATTGTGTAGACCATGGATTTAGACCAAGGAGTCAACCTAGCTGCCTGTTTAAAATATTGAATGCTGCTCCCTGTGTGTCTTGGGGCAATAGCTACCTACTTGCCTCACAGGCCTGTTGTGAGGTTGACGGAGGCAACACAAATTCTTTTGAGCTCCTTGGAGAAAATTCAACTTGTAAGTGCAAAGTTATCTCCATCACACCCTGGCAATGAGACTCCTACCAGCAGAAACCAGTCACCAGGAGACTTGGGCATCAAAAAAAAAAAAAAAAAAAAGCCAAAGCTATCCCAGTCTCAATCTAGGCAAATGATGATGTTCCCTAACTCGATACTAATCTTGCACTGGAGCTTGGTCAGTGGCCACAGATGGGTGATCCATGTGGCCTCCAGTCCTATTTGAACGGCTCGTAGACCATTTCCACACATTTTGAATTGCTTGCCAACATTCGAAAACTGGGAGAATATGCATAACAATCTTGATACCCGGCTTTGTACTGAAAAATTGGAAATTTTGGTCAAGCTAGATTTGCATTTCTATATGGCAAAGTTCAGTGGGGCGCAGGCCATGTCTGCCCTCCATAGAAGGGGCATACACTCTCTAGTGTATTACCACTCCCAGCTGTCTTCTACCCTTTCCAGTGCACTCATGGACATTGCTCCTGCCTCATCCACATAGGGGTGTTTGAGTCTACAACTCTTTCTACAGGTTCTTCCCTCCTGTCCCTTCCCACAGTCAATGAAGATACTGAATTCATAGCGCTCTCATTATCCAAATCTAGGCCATCTCCCCTAGCAGAGGAAAGGCCTGCCCAACCACATCCTGCCAGGCGGAGACAAAAAGAGAACTTGGTTTATCCCTTTCCCTCCCTTGCCAGTAATTCCATCTTAAACCTTAAGGTTTTCTTACTTAGAGATGTCCACGCAGTAATCCAACTAAATTAGATTATAAGCATCGGAAGGTTTTTGCAATAAATAAAAATATAGATATAGCTAAGAGAAGATGAGATTTAATTAATGAATGTTATTTAACAGAACAAGTTGTGCCATATACGGAGGATTAAAAGATAAAAAAGGATAGGAGGGAAAATCAAATTTTAATGAGTTGCCATCTTCATTTGATTTAACTGAATTTCTTCCGCTGTTGAAAATATTAACACTTATGAGGGAGTCATTTGTGTGTATCCACACAGTTTGATACTTGACTGCTTTTTTTATGTAATTATATTGTGTTACAAATGAATTTAAACTACCATTGGAAGTTTAAGGCTTCCATCCTTCCGTTGATCTTCTTGGGAAGCTGTTAGCAAGAAACAATGTCGAAAAAGAAACCGAAAATGATTGGCAGAAATACTGGGAAGGGTGTGTTTGTTAGAGAACAGCAAAGTCTCATGTGGGCAAGAAGACAGCCGAGGTCTTCGGTTCCTCAGACTGTCACCAGTCCCTGTGCCAACCACTTCTTTTTACTCCTGCTACCCAGGGGAGGCTTATGCTGCACTCAGCACACATTAGGTGCTCAATAAATGTTTCATGAATGAATGAATGGATGGATGGATGGATGAATGTATGAATATAGCTGTCAGTGCTAGCGGGAACCACGTGGAGGAGGTGTGGACCTCACACATGCCATGGGATGTTTCTTCTTTATGTTTGTAACACCCATGTCCCTCCAACTGGCAGACAGATCCTCACTGGGCCATTTCCAGATCTCTCTCTGCATCGCTTTTGCTCCCTGCGTTCTCTCTTCTTGCAGGCATGGCATCCAGGTGCCTCAGTGACCTTCTCCTGCAGGAGTGGAGCAGGTGGTGGGCCCAGATCCCTGGGCTACCATAGGGGGATTAGCATCCTGGCCTCTCTTTGGGGAGTTCTGGGCCCTGGGCATGGTTGTGTGCCACCTCTATCTATCTAGTGTGCCACCACTGTTAACTATCCTCTCCACAAAGATGCACTTGGGCAACTCCGGCAAGGACCTGAAGGTGTGGTGCTCATGATTTTTAAGCTAACATTTATGGAGCATCAATAAATGCTTCACTGATAAGTGAAGTGCTCCCAAAAGTAGGACATGG